GTCTTCGTCGATACTCGAAAAGGAGGCCTTGCTGGCCCAGCGAGTAAGCTTGATTAGTCCCCCTCATAACATTCAGGGATTGTATAATCGAAGCAGGTGGTCGATCGTGAACCGACGAGACTTGGTCTTTTTCACGAAGTAGCGGAGGAGGATCACGATCCTCCACAATAATGGATGAATTTGCTTGAGGCATACCTCGTACCTCTTGCAAAAATCCAGAACGATCGGGTCCACCGGGTCCAGTGTGAAGTGGTAAGTATAAACACTTAAGTACCCCTCCACATGGGTAGTGATGACGTTCTCGGGCCCAGGGACTAATACGTCATTGCCCTCCCAATTGCAGTCCTTTCAAACTTTGGGAAGAACGTCTTCAGTCACAAAGCATATGTACCTTGATACCCCTTCACCCCGGTCCTGTTTGCATGAGGGTTTCTCGACCTTAAAGTTGTCTGAAATTGAGTAGCCCCCGGGGATGAACATTTTCAAGGGGGGCTCGGTGGCTGGTTCATCATCAGCCACCTCGGGAGGCGCCATTTCAAGGGTAACTACTTGAGAAGCAACCGTCTCAGCATCAACGGCTGGTTGGAAAGACGAAGAGGCAACTTATTGAAGAACATATTTCGATATTTTGGCCATTGCTATCTTAGAGAGGTTTGAAAATATGAAGAATAAATGCAAAGTTTTGGAAATGCGGGTTTTGAAGATGAAGAACAAAGTATGAAGATTTAAAGAAAATCTGGGTAAAAATATGGAAAGCACTATGAAAATAGAAGAACACGGATGAAGATATGAAGATTTGAAGAAGGTTTGATGATGGCTGGAAAGCTCGAAGGTAATAATTTTGTCGAAAAGTAGAAAAAGAACAAAGGGAGGATGCTTTTAAAGGGAAACAGCTGACGCTTCGCGTTCGGGGCCAACCGACCGATGAGCGACACGTGTACGAAGTCAGAACGACGCGACTAATGGGATGTTTTGGTTCCCTCGTCGCAACGTATGAAGGAAGGAACCGGAGACATCTGTCGTTTCCCATCGTTTCGGCAAGCTAACTCTTTGAGAAACGAGGGGTCTATCTGTATACGGGTAAAACCGATCCCACTGAGCACCCCGGTTTTCTCGGTGAGGCAAACAAAGCAGGGACGTGATCGTAAGGAATCAGAGTTAGAGCGAGGAGCCCCTCGTATCAGGGTCCGAGCAAAACACCTGCCCTCGGGGGCATCGGGACCACGTCCACCGGGTCCGGTTCGAGTCCCAAGACTTTGGAGAGCATTACCAAATAACCGCACATGACTTACAAAGGGCCGTATTGTCCGTGCCCAACCGGATATCACACCGTGAATCTCTCCCTGTATCGGCAGAAAATCAGTGATTAGCGAAAAGGAAGATTTTTATCTTTCTTAGGATTGTACTTAGGGTAAAACTCCCCTACTATATAAAAGGAAAATTTATTATTCATTAGAGATATTGTAATAGGCATACCAAGGCAATTTACTTCTAGTCTCTTTGTTTCTAAAAAGTTATTAAAAGTTCTTATTTTTGTTCATAAGTTCTTCATAAGTGCAAGTTCGGAACCGAAGGCAGGTTCCTCATTAAGCCATTAACCGAGCTCGGGATCACTCTTATCATTGGTTTGACCATTTATTACGTCTTTTATTTGCTTAATCTAACGTCATTGTTCACTTGTATTGAATTAATCCACATATCCTTAAAACTGCGTATAAATTCAACTGTTATCCGTTTTTAAGAGTAAACACATAGAAGGTCGAATTCTTTTATTTATATATATTTATATACCATGGGTTGAATCAACTTAATTTTTTTGCGTATTTACTTTTTTGATTTTAATCTACTTGCTCAAAAACCTAACCTCGCCACTGCCTCTATTCTGCCCCTGGCTCCTCGGTTCTTTACTCTTATTTTACCGTAAGTAAAATGAGTTCCCATTTTGCTTCTATGTTAAAAATCACAGACCGCTTGTTCACCTTTTTCTTTCAACTTAGAAGGGAAAGGAATAGACATCATTGATCAATGGTAATACTGAATAATAATAATACGTTTACACGTATAACAAGCAAGATGGTAGAGGTCAAGAATAAAAGAGAAATATCCAAGCGAAGGTAAGCTATTTCAAGGTTTAGTAAAACTAATTAATGTGTAATTCCATGCATAATGCAAGGTAAACTAAACTAACCGGGTAAAAAATTATATAATGTAAATTCTATTCATAATATATTGCTAAGCTTCTGCTTAGAAGTGATTGTACTGCCAAAGTAACATAAAGTTTATGCTACATTTGTATCTACATGAGATCCATCAATAAATTACAAAGAATGAAAATGAAAGACATAATGATTATAATGATCTGGATCTCTACTGTTACAAATTTCCCTTCAATATGCAGAATGTAAAATGAAAATTTCATGGAGGAGCTAGCTTTTACTTGAAAGAAGATATCGCGTTGTAATTTTCCACAAACTGGAGATTGGAACACCTTATGGAAATCTGCAAGTCAAGTATTATGCTTGTGAAGGCGTTGGTGATGTTGGAGGCTTGAAATCAGGATACTGCAACCACAAAAGAAGGAAGAATTTAACTTAATATACACCGACTGTGTAAAAATATTTTTATGCTATGATTGTATTTTCACGTAACCAGCCTCATCTTCCAGGTTACTAATTACACTTTATATGAAGGGCAGAGAAGTTGTTTCTGATACTCGGCAAATACTAGAATCGTAGAATTCAAATGAGGACCTCCTCATTTCATCAGCAGGAAAGATGTTGAAATCTTGGATATGGTGCAAGGGAATTCATATATCATATTACAACGACATGATTAGATCAACTATTGAGAATGAACTGAAAAAACTTACATTAGGATATGGAGAAAGTGACTTTGAACTTCCAGTTAGTGCCTCTCCTTTGACTTCTAGTTTAGGGACCGAATTGATTTCCAGAGTAGACTCAGCAGATAATTCTACCTTGGAAACTGTTTCAGTTTTCTCCGCACCGCCACTAGGTTGTGAAGGCATCGGCGATGTTGGAGGCTTGAGATCAGGATACTGCATCAACAAATTCAAAAGAGATGATGTAAAAAAGGCAGTCTGGTGCACAAAGCATCCCGCATTCAGGTAGGGGCCGGGGAAGGGCCGCACCCCCAAGGGTTGTAATGTAAATAGCCTACCCTAATTCAAGTATTAGTGACTGCTTCTACGACTCGAATCCGTGACCTATGAATCACATGGAGACAACTTTATTGTTGCTCCAAGAATCCCTTCTCAAAAGAGATGATGCAGTTAATGAAAAACATGAGAAAGCAAAGGGCAGTCACATAGACAAAATAAATGAATTAAAATTGTCCATTTGGAAATACCTCAATGTCTCAGAATATAAACAAGGGACATCTCTTTAATCAGCAAGAAGGATATTAAAATCGGCAAGTCATAGTGAAATGATAAGACCAACTACTCAGAATGAAAAGGAAAACTTACACTAGGATATGGTGAAAGTGGCTTTGAAATTCCAGTTAGAGCTTCTACTTTGATTTCTGGTTTAGGGACTGAATTGATTTCTGGAGTTGTCTCTGCAGCTGCAGGTAGAGCCTTGCTAGTCACGGGCGTCGGAAGAAGAGCCATCCCTATTTGCTGAAGTTTCAAAGTCAGAAGCATAAGTGCATGACTAATGGAACTGTGACTATGAACTATGTTGTTGAAAACAAAACATAAAGTTCTTTGATATGGGAAGTAAAACGCTTCAAGAAGTTCTGGACATACGAGAAGATTACCTTAATATCACCTGCAAGCTCCTTTGGAGCAATGTTGGTGGTGACGAACTCATCAACTTGTTGCAGAGTTTGCTTTCTGTCCTGGAAAGTGAAAATGTCAAAATATTAATGGACCTCTCATGTCTGATAATTTTCTACCATGATCGGTATCGATGTTAAGTAACCGGTGGAAACCATAGAGGCCAGCTCATCTTAGTACCAGTACATAAAATGCGATTCACCTTCTATCATAGCACGAAACAGTTTTAGAAGTAAATTAAATGATGTTTCCTTAACAAGTTATCTTTTGAGCCTTCAAGTGGTCAGAATACAAAATTTTAGATTCAAGATCTTACTAAAGTTGTAGGATATATATGTAATATGTCGCTGAAAACAGTGGCGCCACAAGAATTTTGCTAAGGGTGTTCGAGAATTAGTATGCATAAAAGGTAATATGTTTTCAATATACTTGGTATAATTTACCGACAAAGAATGTTTAGCTGAGCAAGAGAAGCAATAATTCAACAGGTAAAAGAAACAAACAATTCAAGAAGGAATAGGGCAGTTAAGGCAAGAGTAATTTCATATTGCCAAAACTACGTTTCTGAGGTCCACGTACTGGAGAGACAAGAAAAGATTTCATTGCAAATGATGCTGACGAACCTCTGCAAATAGAAGTTTCGTGCTGACCAGTTGGATAAGTGCAGCTGAGCCTAACAGTTGGAGAATCGTTTCTACCTGAAAAAGGAGGACCGATAATAAGCTGTCTAATGAATGCTCAACATAAAGTTCAGGATAAAATATTCTGGAGCCTGACCTCTGTGAACGCCAAAAATCCTAACCCGGCAGCTGCAGCTACACCTAAACCTACTGCAACAGCATCAGAACCATCCTGTATATACACATTCCATCAAAGTTATCTCATTTAAGTTAAGCATGTCAAAATGCAAACCCGAAACAGTCTATGATTAGAATAGTAGTACTATACTAGTATTCACCACATAGCCTAATGAAATTGATAAATGCAAGTTAAGTAGTCTCCTAAATAGCTTCTCAAACAATACATAGTGGCTTCACAACATAAAGCTTCTGAGAAATATCAAGGCTGAGAAACTATGTGAAATGTCACTTATAGCTATCATATTTTAAAGATGTCACTTGTATCTGTCATCCACAAACCATTCACCTAGGAACTGTTAATTAAGGATTGTGGAGTTAAAGTGCAGAAGTTCTAAAAACAGAAATGTACAACTGCTCCTTGCACTTAAAACAGGAAAACAGAACTTCTTAGCTGTCCATTTGCACTATTTGGTAAGACTTCTAAAAGAAAAGCATAGCTAAAAGGCCGAGGGATAACATCATTATCCTGCGAAAATCTGCTTCCTAGTTATATTTAATACAACTCTATAGTTTTGGCACATTTATGTGCAATAAGGCAAAAGGGAAGGCTTGGGATATTTTAAAACTTCTTGTGTGCATAGTAAATCACAAGCGAGATGCCAATTTCATTAATTTCCAGCGGCAACATCCTAAATGAACCTCACTCTTAATTTTTGTTTAGGGTCGATAACGCAAAGTACCATTCTATAGAGAGAAAAACATACCCCAAGAACACCATCAAGAGCATCAGACAGATTGCCGAGATCAAGACTTAATGTTTTCCTCGGAAGTATCCAAGGAAGGCCACTATTCTGCAGAAATTGGACCTCATTATGCTTTATTCCACCAACTTTTTAAAAATTAAGAATGTAACGAGATTTTTAAATGTAAAACCTTCCATCCTCGCGGTCCTTCAGCGCCATCTTTAATTGCATATGCAGCTTTAAAACCATTAGCTGTGACAAGCTCCGCTACCAATTCAGAGTTCCCATCAAATCTGGCTTCATTACAATCCAGAAAGTGACAGGATTAGAGTTAATTTGTTCAACTAGTTTGCTGATACAAGAGTTCCTCACAGTATATATCAGGAAAAAGAGCATGACATCAAGCAAGAGAAACATTTCATTTTGCCAGCAAATCTTTGATTTTTCCCTTTAAACCCTCAATCCAATAAGCAGAAGAAAATTCTTAAACAAAGATATAAATAACTAAACTCAAGAATCAGAGGAAGTATAATTTGTGAATAGTTTTATAATACACTTTTAAGGCATATATTGTGAAGTTACAAAAAGTGACTCGCAGAACATTCATTTTGAAGTGAAGGAGAAAGTTTCAGAAGTTTAATGATCAAGCTGCACCTCATTCGACTAATTAAGATGGTTGCAGTGTAAGCATGTTGGCGCTCTATTGATTAGAAAAATGTAAGAACATTACTCTTTGTCTAAATCAGTTTAAAGCCACATTTCTGCTAGGTTTCACTAAGATACCAAAAGGATAAACATAATGCTAAAGTGTGTGACCATCTTATCTATAATTTTAAACAGTTAGAGAGATCACACTTTGAATTACTTATCTTTAAGATGCTCCATCACGTGCGGGCTTGACTCTTTTTCTTGGGCCAAGCACAGAAATTCTCTTATTCATTATTGTGATAATGGGTATATAATGAAACTTGAACTGAGGACCTCTCTATTTGCGAAGTATGTAACCATCTCATATAAAAGTTTAAACTGCTAAAGAGAGTACACTTCTAATAACTACTTAATTATGTCTTCAACACAGAACAACACATGCTATAAACAATGAATGAGCATAAGAATAACTTTGAAATCATACTTGTCTAGAATGAACAATGTAGTATTCTCTGGCTCCTTGAACCTCAAAGCTAGCTTCTTTAAGAACCCTGGCTTATCTTCACCTTTATAAACAACTGAAACTGCCTTCTTCTTCAAACCCCTTATATCTGGACTTCCCACTTGCCTCAATTCCACAGGTCCCCTTATATCAAGTAATTCTGAACTCTCATCATCTCCCAATTCAGCATAAGCTTTTTTAGCAGACTCAACACCCCATTTCTTATTAGGCTTATTATTACCAAGCACCTGAGACAGAACCAATGGCAAAGCCAAAATAGCAAAACCACCAGCTATGACTAAAGGATTTTCAGATACAAAATTTGTCACAGTTTCAACAAAGGCATTTGCATCAAAATCAGCTGTTGAAGTACTAGTAGTTGATTGCTGAAGTGCCTCTTCATATGTTAATGCATTAGCTAAACTTGTAGTGAAAACTGAGGAAAGTACTACTAGACCCCCTTGAACTTTTCTTGATAGAATCTCTAGTGAATTTGATGAATTGGTGCTAAAATTGGCTGAATTTGAAAGGTTCTTGAATGGGATTTTTTTGGGTTCATTTCTTCTATCAGAAAAAACTGAAAGAGGTGTCAAACTTGCTGCATTGAGAGCCTCCATAGCAAAATTCTGTATCACTAGTTACAGCCAAATTTCTATGCAATATTTTAGCTAAATGTTGATATCCTAGTGAAATGTTGTAGATATGTGGAAGGGAGAAGAGTATCCTGCCACTAGTTGGTGGCAATATTGTCATATAAGGATCATGGGGCCGGTGATTATGTGGACCAATTGTTATGCTTTTCCAATTTAACTTTGGGTGGCCAAGAATTGTCAAAGGAAATCTTTTATTATGAAACTTGGCATTTTTCAGTTGTACTTCATTTTACTTAAAAGCAGTACTTTATACTTTAGTTCTGGTACAGAATGATCTCTTGGTTGCCCGATTAGCTTCCGACTAAGCAATGCAAGAACCCAAAGGCCAAAACTCTTCTTTCAATCTTCATTCTTTCTGTTTTTTTGTTACTCCCTCCGTTTAAAAATTATTGTCCTAGTTTGACTTGCACAAATTTTATTATAGAAGATAAGATTTTTAAGTTAGTGATTTTAAGCTAGCGTTTGACCATATATTTTCAAATTTGTTTTAAAAAATATGATTTGGGTGAAGTTTGGTTTGAAAATAAAAATGTGTTTGGACATAATTTTTCAAAACACATTTCACTTTTATTTTGAAAAAACATGAAATGTAACTTATACCCATAAGTTTTAAAAACTATCAAAAATACCAACTCTGAAAAATATTCATACAAAACAAGCGAAACAAATCTGAAGACAATTTATACAAACCTTAGCAGATTTTAGCAAATTACCTTCAAATTTTGTCTCTGCGGGTCATTGCCACAGATTGACACAACAACTTTGGCGAATGTTTTCTTTTGTTTATAGAGAAGGACAGAGCCGCGTAAGTTTAATGAGGGAAAAGTGGGTAGATATGGATTAGTTCGGTCATAATAACATAAAGTGGGCTTTTTAAAAAAATATAAAAGTTTGAGGCAATTTTTAAATTTTTTTTAAAAACCAAACGGTAATATTTTGGGCCAAAAACAGCTCTTGAGTTGGTTTTGGAATTTGAGTTTTGGGATATGAAAATTTGCCAAAAATTGATAAAATCTATAAACAAACATGTATTTGCCAAAAAAAAAAAAAATTGGCAAAATCTATGGCCATACGTGGGGTAAATAAATCATAGCATTTGAGTGACTTTAAAACTTTTGAAACTTGTGGTTTTAAATCTGTCATAGCATTGGTATGGTTATAAATGCTTTCTATTAAGAAAATATTAAAAGGTGTTGTTTAAAATGGACTAATAAGAAAATAGTACCAATCTTTTTGACACGAGGGAATACTATAAAAATATTTCTTTTCAGGAAGCAAAACTACTTCAGAAACTGACCCGTCTTTGGCTTCGGTAGATGAATGGTGTTAAATATCAAATAAGTTTGTTTACCCAAAAAATGGATAGAATTGAATTTATACGTAGTTCCGAGGATGTGTGGCGTAACTTAACACAAAATATAAGGATAAATAGAAATATAAATATAGATTGCAGAGAATGCGAAATAGATAAGGTTGTCAGGAACAATGAATCTTAGGATTCAACAAATAGAATCAATCTAAGAAATCTGAAAGAACGACTCTTTACTATAGAAGAATATAGCGCTTTTATTACAATGTAAGCCTGAGAAAACTTGTTTTACAGAAATTGTAACCAAGCCCTTTTATAGTGGAGGAATTTGGCTCTAAGCATAATAAAATAAACATTCAGTGGGAGACCCATGATAAGTCAGTTTTTTCACAATTTCTGCCAAGATTCTCTCTAGTGGGATTGCAACGGCTTTTGTCTGCGAGCTCGATCTTGCTTAAAACCCTCGATTTTGGTTTGAGCTTGATTTCGATTCGAGCTCTTGATCTTGGTTCGAGCCCGATCCTGGCTCAAGCCCTCGAATTGATTCGAGGTCAATGTTGGTTGGTCTCTGGATTATCAGCATGATAGATCTACTCTGCCTTATGGTTCGATTTCTATTCGAGCTTGATAATGATATCGAACTTGACACGGATCGGCCTCCCCGGGTTCGAGGTTAGTTTGTTCCACCTTCGGGATCTTACTTCGATAGATCATCGTTCGAACTCGATCGGACGTGCTAAGGCCGAAATCTATTTCGACCGTATACAGATAGTCCCCTCGTTTCTCAGAAAGAATGTGGCGAGAAACGATATAATTTTTTAACGGCTCGATCGGATTATAACCTGACGTTTCCATCAGGTTCGACCATGACGCATCTGGTAGCTGTCCCGTCGGCTTAGTCTTTCAAGGCATTTAATGCATGTCAGGCGGTGGTCGGCCACCGCTGATACTGAACCGCCATCGCTTGAACCTATAAATAACCCTTTCTTTTATCTTTTACCACTTTTACATCTTCTATCTTCCAAATTTCCCAAGTTCTTCTTCGTATTCTCCAACTTACCAGTAAATCTGTGATTTCTTTCTGCAAAAGCCCCTCCTCAATTTTACCAAATCTTTGTCAGTTTTCTCTATTCCTTGCTTCTGAACTTGAAAATGGCGAAAACATCACAAACCATCCCTCCGAAAGAGAAAACTTCATCTTCACAGTGTGCCGCCGATGATACGCTGGCAGAACCACGTCCTGAGGAGTGCGTTCCTGGGGCGTGCGTCCTTACTTCTGATTTCAAGGTCGATAAAGGATCATCGGTGCCTGGTCGATGTGAACCGGTATCGAGGTATATATGTTCGATAACCGAGAAGCACCTCCAACAGCTAAAGAAAGATTGCAATTGGGATAAAAAATAAATAATGATTCCTTCTTCTGACGAAGATATCACTTCGCACGTGAGAGGGTTTTTGAATGTGTATTTTTATCCTTTCACGTTGGGTCCCCTCGATTCTGTTATCATTGATTTATGTCGTCAATACCAAATAACTCTAGGCCAGGTCCACCCTTCTTTTTGACGGATCGTTATCCTGATCCGATATTTCGTAAGCAAAATCGAGGGGATGCCGTTCACCCTCGACCATATTATCTGATTATACCGTCCTTGAATTTTTCGAGGAGGGTTAATAAAACTTCAGCGTCGGGCTACCAAGACTATGTTCTCGAATATTGACGAGGACATGGACCGGGGTTGGATGGGCAGGTTCGTTCGAGTAAGGACTTCGGACCTGATTCCGACTGAAAAGATGCCTTTTCTCGAGGAGTGGAATATGAAACGTTAGTGTGATCTTGCTATTACTTCTACTTTGTTCTTTCATTTATTCTCTCATCGACACTCCTCTTTTTGTGATGTAACGGTTCTCTGGATGCCCGAAGCAGTTCCTAATCTCAAGAACTGGGTACGAGCCATTGTTTCGACCTCCACATACGCTGAGAGCTCATGGCGTGATTTGTTAAAGGGTCGGTGGGAGGCCAAAAATCACGGTAAGCTCATTTTTCGTACTCTTTGATGATCTGAATGAGGTGGTTTTCAAAATATTTTATTAAGGTTTTCCATATGCAGGTTTGGGTAAAGATGCGGTTTTGAGGCCCTTGTCCAATGAGGAGGAAATTTCGGCCTCTGTCCCAAAACCGGTGAAGGAAAATAAAAGGAAAAGAGCCTCCGTTCCTGAAGATCCAAAACCGAAGAAGAGGATGGCTCATAAGCCAAACAAGAATGTCATTCCTTTGACCGTGGAATCCGTTATGCATCTAAGGGATGAAGATGATGAAGAAGAAGAAAATGATGAATCCGCGCTGGCGGTCCGAATGAAGAGAACCACCAATGCCTCATCGGCGGCTGGATCGATGATGCTCCATGAGGCTCCGCCTCGAACTGAGGATATATCGGAGAAAGATTCGGGTATAGTCCCCGAACTATCGGATATCGAAGACGCATCACATCGGAGTCAACGGGCAGGGGATATGACCGAAGGGGCCATCGAACCCCTTCGAACCGAGGAGAATGCTCCAGGATTCATTTAGGGCAGCAACAATCGAGGATTCGCCTACCTTTCCCGCTTTTTTCGCAGGGGTGATTCGGGAAGCTCAAGCTATGGGAACCCTCGATCTAGACAGGCCTCATAATGAAGAAGATCCCTTTCGTGACCTATTTACCGGCATTGAGGACGTTGCCGGTGCTGGTGATGAATCAGATCTTTTTCACGGATTACGGCAGGCTTTGAATCAGGTGAGCTTTTAAAATTATTTTGTTGGCACTATCTTTATGTTCATTTTTTGTTAACTTCGCTTCTTGTTTCTTTGTCGGCAGTGGCAGTTCATCGAGAACAAGGTTCTCGATCCCAAAATGAGCTGCATCGATACGAGGCCGACCTACAACGGGCTACTGACGAGAGGAACTCCCTTAGACTTTCCTTAGGGCAGAGAGAAGAGGAAATAAAAGACATCCGAGCTGAGCTGGCCAAGGCTTATCGAGATCAGACCGATTTGTCTGAGCAGGTAATGATGCTTTTGAAATCCTATGGGCTTGATACCGGAACGATAGCTAACATTTCGGTCTCACAGCTGCAGCAAAAAATAAGATGATCGGGAAGCCTCGTGAGGAGGTCGATGTGATAAGAACAGAGTCTTTGCAGTGGAAAGAAGGTATGGACCGCTTTGCTGCAGAAAAAGAGACTGCTCGAGCCCAGTTATCATCGTCCGAAACCCAACTTCAGAAAATGAAGGAAAAAGGCCTGGTTCAAGCAAGAAGATTTGAGGAGCTTGAGGCTCGGTTGGCCTCTGTACTTTCCAAGGCCGAATCTGATGCCGAAAAGGTAAAGGCCAATGCGGATGTGCTCGTGGCCGTCTATCGGGCCGATGCTGAAGCTGCCCAAATCCAGGCAAGAGAGGCAGCTGAGTCCGCTGATACTCGAGCACATTGGGTCGCTGATCTTGCTAAGTGTCTATCCCAAAGGGAAACTCTCGAGGAGATCCATGCTCATGGTTTCGATCTCGCTGAAGAGATAAAAAGGGCCAAAGAACTCAAAGCCGATGCTGAAGCTCTGGTTTCTGATGGCGATGACAATGACGATGATGATGGGAGCAAGAGCAGATCCGAGAACGGGGGGGAGCCTGATAAAGAAGAGACCGCTCCTGACCGAGAAGTTTAGTTCTTAGTTTTTACGTTGTAATCACCCATGCAGACAAATTTGTATATAGATATATCCCCTTTTTTGCAGACTTGCTTCTGTTTTTGTTTCTTGCCTTGTAAGGACTTTATTCACGCCTTATGAATGT